TTGTGGACTGGCCGGTTTCAACGAACCAATAGGACTTGCGCAAGTGGCTTGGTTTCGCCAACTTCTTGCACAAATATAGCGCAAATTATTAGCTGATATGGCACGGCCATTGTCGAATCTTCTTAATATGGATACGGAATAGTGTTGGGACACCGAGCATCGGTAGCCTTTGATAAAGTCAAAGATAGCCTCCTTTATACACCAATACTGACGTTGCCAGATCCCGATTGTTCTTTAGTTTCGTCTGTGATACTTTGCAGCTGTACACTGATGCAAGCGGACGCCGAGGGGCGAGATGATCGCGCTCGAATCTCGCCAGCTTAAGGCTGCGGAGAGGAACTACCCAGTTCATGACAAGTAAGTAATTGCGATGAAGTATGCACTTGTCAAGTTCAGAGTGCACCTGCTTGGCTCAAAGCCATTTGTGATCTACACAGATCATGCGTTACGCACAGCGACATAGTCGCCTCACGCAGAGGATGGCCGGACGACTCTTCTTCTGACAGGAAATTGTCGGCGCGTTTGCCCGCACGGTTACACCGATTCTCGCTGAATAACGGGTTGTTGCGTTTTAGCACCGACTCGACGGAAGCATCACGAACTGTGGTTCCTTACGATAAGGATTTAAAATTCTGTAGTCTCTGTGAGGTCTACGACATCCAACTTAGTGTTCATCTCAGTCGTGAGAATACGTACAGCGTGAGTTGCCACTACTGGTGGCCCGAGCTGTACAGATGGACGAGCACATATGTGCGCACGTGTGAGACGTGTCTAAGGGTGAAACCCTCTCCGAACGCGGCAGCGCCGCTGACCAGGTTACCGGTACCCTTAGGGTGTTGGCAGTCCATGAGAATGGACTTTGTGTCTGACCTGCCGAAGACCTCGGCGGTCAACACGGGTGCGATGACTTTGTGAACCATTTCAGCAAAGATGGCTCATCTTGCGGCGGTGCTGGACACAATCGACGGTGTCGGTACAGCGACGCTGCTTTTCGATCGTGTCTTTTGACAATATGGACGTCGAGTCAATTGTCTTTTACAGAGACCCGCAATTTTTGGTTGACAATCTTTAGTGTGCTGGTCACCAAGTTGACTATGTCAACAGCGAGCCATACACAGACCGATGGTCAAAATATGCGCGTGATTCGCGTCGTTAAAGACGTTCTTTGTAGCGTCAGCGCTAAAATGCCGAGCTGCTGCGCCATGCTGCTACTCGTAGAGTTTGCTCTGAACAATGCAGTGTATCCATATACCGACTACACGCCGTTCTACGTGAACGGGCTTGTTATCCCTCGTCCCGCCGACGCCGCCATCCCATGGCTCGGGGCTAGGGGGAGGAATAAACGAGCAGCTAGCTAATGTCAGCCCCCTCAAAGTCCATAAAGAGCCGATGACTTCCTGTCTACCGGACTGAGTGTTATTGATGGTTGAAAGCCAGGACATGCAGAAAAAATGCAGATGGAAGAAGCAAGAGAATTGTGGGAAAGCTTAAGATCAAAGACCTGATTTTATTAAATGCTAAAAACCTTCCTACATATGCAGTATGTACTGTCTAAAATAAAGCTTCGTTCGCCGTTTATCGGACTTTTTAAGATCGTGGCCAAGCAAGACCTTACGCTGAACCTTCCGAGAAGGATGAATGCCCACCCAGTGTATAATGTGAGCTTGCTTTAGCCGTGTCGGGATCCGGCGCAGGTAAAGGCGGAAGCGTTGGGGCCGAGGCGGCGCCTAAAGACGCTTAACCACTCAGAAGCTGAACCAGCAACTGGTTCTGAACACGGAGTGCCTCAATTTCCGTTTTCAGCGGCGCCAGGCGATCCACCGTCCCACGAATTGACGTATTCGTCTGCTCGACGGCTGGGAGCCGCTTTGACTTAGCGTGAGAATCATCAACGTGAGGCAGTCGGTGCACAAAGTGCTCCAAACTCTCGAGGACTCCCGCAAATCGGTAGGCAAACTCGGGAAGATGCTCGGCAGAGTAAGGGTTTTGTCCTCCAATGCTCGAAGAGCATCGCGAGTCACCGGAGGGCGATCGACCAAGTCGTCATCGCCCGCCATCCACTCTTATCGATAAGAATGGTGGCGATGACTATAACGTGGAACGCAGCTGCTGTGATAGTATACTCACCCGTGTGAGAAAACCACAGAGCTCGTGGGAGCGTGATGGATGATTCCATGTGTCGCAGGGCAACAATACACAGGAAGATGGCGCTCTACGCGCACGCTCACTTCTTTGTGGCTTCGCGGTAAGTAGACAGCGCGAAAAGTGCCGCTGCACCCGTCCCTACAAAAGCTGTTAGGCATCTGCAGCGGTTTTGTAAGGGGCGAGCACGTCCGCATTGCGGTACAGGAGCGCCTCCTTTTTGGAAGCGAAGTCGAGCGCGGTACCGATCCATTGGAATTTTTCGGGATAACAAAAAGCGATCTCGAAGAGCTCTCTGCTGGTCAAGCTTAGCTTGTGTAGTGGCCAAGACCAAACTACGTAGACGCCTAACATTCTAGTCATCGCGTCTTTCGCTTCAGTAGCGGGATCCGCCAAGTGAAAACCGTGTTTGACAAAAGGGTCTAGGACCGAATGTGGATACGAGCGCATGAGAGCCACCCTGTGGGCAGAATCCAACTGCTACTCCAGTGCCTTGTCGAGGCGATCGGTAATAATACCACTTCCCCCTGAATTTGAGAGGTCGAGAAACGGACCTGGTGTTAGCAAGGATCAAGCTGGGCTCACGTCGCGCCGTTGGCGAACCCCATCCTACTCGTCTTCCCATGCTAACAAAGAAGTATCCGATTCGTAGTCGGCTTCCTCTGAAGCCTCGAAGAGGAATTCCTTCGCCCAGGGCGGGCGTGGTGCGTGGCGCTTGGTTGCCGAGGACTTGGGATGAGTTCCCGTGAGGCTGCGGACGCACTATTCGGATATGCACCCAGTACAGAAAAAGAAGAATGGCTTTGCCCACAATCCTCGACACCAGCTAGGCTGGGTGTTTTTCGTGTCATAGACACAGGGCTAATAGAGCGGAGAAAGGTCAAGGATGTTCTTTAGGCCGTAACGGAGTCTCAGACACGCGAATCTCGTATGATGTGACAGCTGAATAAGAATTGTGGGTATTCACAATTTTGTTGGGGGGTGTAACGGGGTACACGTACCCTTGTATGAAAGGGCGGGTCGCACAAGATGGAGTGACTGTACATAGGTGTGGATTACACAAGCGGTGTGGCTACACCGTAACATGAAGCCACTACGTGGCAGGAATGCCATTAGTAATGCATATAAATTAGTTTTTACTTTATTTATTAGAAAAACCTAAGGTCTAAGATTTTGGCGGCTATGCCGTAACTAAAAAAATTAGACACACTTTCAATAGGGCTATAGCGTAAGCTCAGCTCGTGATCCTCGGCTTTCCGGACTACTGCCGTAATCCGCGGGGCGCACAACGACGTGAAGCGTTATGAACCTTCCGATCATAAGCGTCTACGACGTCTGGACAGTATTGCCAAAGTGACACCTCAAACCCCCCACGAGTTCTCGAAATTTGGGTACCCCACCTCTTCACAAGATATTGGGTTAGACCCTGTCAACGACGTCGACGCACAAGTTTCTAATCGAAAGAGCGTCCTTACCTTATGTGAGGTTTCAGTACTCTCTGAGGTATCGGATTGCGATGCGCTACAGACGTATTGGTTCTCGTAAAGAACGCTTGGTCGGTGACCTTAGCTTAGCTTCCTCTAAGGAAAGAGCTACGGCAACCCCGCTGGCACGGAGGTTAAACTGTCAGCATTTCCAAACGCATCTCGTACAAGAACAAATCAAGTTTCTATTTGTAGGACATTCATCTTTTGCCAAACGTCTTAATTGTAGTGAGGTTACCTTCACATATGCTACATAAAAAGTCGAACAAAATTTACTACAAAGCGGGCAATCACGCACCTCGTAATGTACCGTTTATCCGAGGTCCTTATCACAAGGAATCACCACACTCTGGGTGTCGGGTACGTGCCGTTGTTCGCCAAGCCTTGGACAAGAAATAGCGGTGAAGACGCGCTAACAAATACGTCGATATAAAGACACTCGAGCTCAAAAGTTCTTTTTTCTTCCGATGCTTCCAACGATGCTGTTCCTTCTTCGTCTGACACGTACACTGTACGTTTCGTCGACGCGCGACGTCAACATCGTGATATGCGATTGTTCATTGTCTGGGTGACTCGAACGCACAGTCACTACCAAATCAAGCCGAACCAGGTAATACTTTCCCTCAACGGTCTACTCGGCCTGGAAGGATAACCATCTTGCCATCCCCAAGAGAGGTGGTGACAATATTAGTGTGCTTTCCAACGTATGATCGGAATCGATAACAAGGGCTTCGACTCGATCAGGCGTATGACAAATTCATATTCAGTACCGAGATGCTTTCTGTCGCGAGGTCAAAAGTTCTTCTCTGCCGCTTCAAGCTGGCAAGATTCAAACGCAACAGCACATTCATGCTTACTAGTATTTGATCAAAGTAAAGCACGGCCCAAGTCAGACGACAAGTAGAGCACAGACTAAGGCAAAGGTCCATGACGATTTGAAGTGACGTAACCGGGTTCGGAATGGCCAGAAAAGGGTACACGCATTGGCTTTTATTCGCAACCTTTTAAGATCCCTAATCATTTGCATTCAACACAACATGATATCATATCTTGGTAGAATGGTGAGGGTGTGCCATATTTGCAAAACGTGCATTGAACTTGTGCAAGTAGAGGCACAGGCCAAGCTACTTTGAAAACGGCGAATAATATGGATGTCGTCGTTATGGGGACTACTTTTGGATCGAGGTCCGTGCCTTATTATGATGCATGTACACATGACTTTAATGTGCCTCAGACTAAAGAGAGAAGTTCAGAAGTACTAAGGCAAAATTCCATCATGAAGTTTTCTCCAAGGTATTTGAAGCGGATGAGGGTTTCGTGACTCTATCAAGGCGAGTTTCGGGGGATGCATGGGATGTTCCTGTCACGCAATGTATTGCATATGATTTCATATGATACACGGTAGATCAAATACTTTTAATACAATTCAAACCAGACTTTATAGCAAGGATATTACAGCAGAACAAACATCATTCCACGGTTAAGAAGTAAAAACGGACGAGCTTCTCCGCAAGATTGACCCACAAACTCCTCATGAAATCGTCGAATCCAGACTGAAAGCGGCCGACTGGAAAAGAACTGAACTTTATTGTAAGTTGCTGGTGGTTTTGCTTTGGCATACGGGTGGTGCGTAAGAATCCGTCCTCTTTGTGTAGGTAACGAAGACTCAAAGAGGTCAGAGCTTTGTCTTGTGATGTGCACGGCACCCCATTGTGTCTGGTAGCACTTGTCGCCAAGTCATGAACCGAGACCGACAAATAGTGTTTTTTCTGTGAGGAACTCAGCATGGGATGTATCTGGATCTATGCGTGAATCAACGAGATGATACACTTATAATTTACTAGCGTTTATTGGTTGTTAGGGTGGTACAATTGTTGGCCTAACGCCCAGAAGTGGTTATTCTTTGTTTGTAGACGTTCACTAACTGGCAAGCTCACCGGTAAGGTATCTTTAGAAACGTCTGGACAAAAGTCTGTGAAAGCATTTCCTAATTTCGTGGAGCTCAAATCAGTGCGCTTGTTTTATTAAGCTTCAAGCTGTTTGAAGGGGGCCAAAAAACATTAGTTGATGCGAGAGTTTGGCATCACCAAAGTCTGGTTTGAATCCAGTCGAAGCAGCTGTGTGTCGCGCTAGCAGTTTCCAAGCCAGGAGACCGCGGAGACCTTCATGCGTTACCTCGAAGAGAGTCATTTCGGATATAGAAGCCGTCGAAGCAACAAATGTATCAGTAGTTGCATCGCCCTATATCGCCTGAACGCGGGTAATTTAATTAATTCTCCTGTCAAGTGGGAAGAGAATGACGAACTATTTCGAGGAATTAGGATCCCTAATCAATTACAAGGCGGCTAACCCTTAGCCCGAACTTAAAACGGCAAGACATTTTCTGCAGATCCCTGTTTACGTGCTGCTCGCACTGAGACCTTCCACATTCGTTAAATATCTTGTATAGAAGTAATAAGTGTCGCACAATATCCGAAAGGCAGTTTTCGAGCGGTGGAAGGCGAGGAATTCGTGAGCACACCTGAGGAAAATGAAACTCGTCGAATAGGAGAACAAAAAGAGTGAACTCGACACTAGCAAGTAGTAACATGGTATTTTCAGACTATAAATCAGCGACAATATCAAACACTTACGTCTGGCATGTGACGAAAAATGTAACGGGCCAGGTATTTACTCCGGCGATAGAGCGACTGAGCCTTGAGTCTTAGGTTTGTGGAAAAATCAGCTCTGGGTGATGTAATGATCCCCTCCATTCCATAATTAGGGAGATTGGTTTACATAAGTAGGCGCATCAGCTCACGAATAGCGTGTGCTGTATCGCTATCATCCTATTGGCTGATGTTTGGAAAACCAGACCCTCTAATAGCCAATAAGTCGATGACGTGTATTTGAGCGGCCAGGGCTTTCTCTCTGGTCCTAAAATACAGTTCTCCCTCTATAAGTTGTGCGTTCGCAGCATAAGCGCAGACGAAGAACATTGACACAGATGACTAGAACGACCGCGGGGACGACAGCGATGGTGGCGACGAGCATACGCAGCGGTCAGTAACCTCGAGTGACAACGTGGGGAAGACTGGTGCTGGTGCCGGCTTCGACGCTGGCGAACTTCGACGTGGGTTTGTGGGATGGATTCAGTGGCGACTCTTCAAACATAACAGGGGATTCCACGCACAGCCCCTCAAGATTTCGACGTGTAATACGAGTGCGCAACGCTATTGGGTTCAGCTCCCTCATATGTGAGTACTATCGATGTCATCACGGCACTTTTTACAGTCTTGATTTCCAGAACCCGTGGTAATGGTCAAGACGTGAAAATCATAACTTGCGTAAATGGTCGACGTCGCATTAATCCTCCACTA